TAAGATCTTTTGTAAAGTAATTGATTATTGGTACGTAGAACATGTTTAGATCATATGAATTAATAATTTAATAATCAAAACATTTTAAAGTATAATAAAATTAAAAAATTAGTTTTAAAATTGAAAACATAAAAAAGTAAACTTATATTAACATTGATTTGAAAATAAAAAGAAACACAAAATACAATTCCAAATAATTATTAAAAAAAAAAAACATTAAAGATATAAATGAAAAACAAAAAAAACAATCAAACATATTAATTAAAGGTTACAAACATTTTATTTAATTAATACAAAGTTAAAAAAACTTAAATATTTGAAAGATTTTCGTTATCACAAATCGCAACGAATCAGACCATGCCACGTCACCACAAGATCAGCCCAAAAACAGTTCTAGCCCAAGAACATGAGAAGTGTTCTAAACCCACTTTTTACAAAGTTTATTATTATTAAACTCTAAGATCAGGCCTGAAGATGGACCGTTAAACATCGTCTTATCCAAATTTATCCCTTTTCTCCCAACCAATGCCATCTCGCCACGTCACCCCGCAACACAAAGAAGAACTGATCCAGGATGAGAGCGGGCATGCTGATCTTAAGCCCATAAACCCATTATTTTGGATTAAAAAAAGGCTTAGATCAGGGGGTGGTCCTGCAATGTAGATGACCTAAGAGAAACCCATCACAACGTTTCTCACAGTTGTCATTCAATCATTGGTTTAGTTAAAATACTTTCAATTAAATATTTATAATATTTGTGTTCACACTTAGATTTGTGTTCACACTTGAGTTTAGATACTGAAATTAAGGAACTGCCGATTCTCTTAGTGAATCTAAGGGGGTGTTATTGGTTTATTAATTTGTAAATCCATATAGAATTTGAAAATTTCTATTAATTATGAAATCAAGATATATAGATTTTGAAATAACATGTGTTTACCCATGGATTTGAATCTTTCTATTTTTCTCTTTCAATTCCATTTAAAACATAATTTGGATTCTCAAATCCAAAAACAAATGACTAAACGAATAACATATGATTTTAACTAGTATTTATAAATCATAGAACCAATAACACATGAATTTAATTAGGATTTTAAAATCAATGATTGAATAACAAATGATTTTTGTTTGGATTTCTAATTCCATATAAATCTATGAACCAATAACCCCTCCTAAATTATACATATGTACACATGCATGCAACACAAGAAACTTGAAAAGTATGCAAGCATTAACACTTCAACGGTTCGTTCCACAATGTTAAAACTGATTCAAATTAAGTAAGAATCATTGGTTAATTTACTTAGTTACTTACGAAAAAAAGAATCATTGGTTAAGCAGATTAAGCTTATACTTACACAAAACTAAAATAAATAAAACATGACAAAATTTGTCGACCGTGAATTTAACAAATGGGCCAAGAAAAGATGTCGTTCATGAGGTGCACGACGACAAAAGAAACACTTGTATAAGCAAATGACCCACTTAACCCAGTTTCCCAAAACCAACAAATCTCAGCCGTCGATTCTTAGCCACTCGGACCAAAACGTACGCATCAAAATATCGTCCTCCCAAGTAGAACCTCAAGATTCTCACATATTCTCGGGTAATGCCATTGTGACTCTCATGTCATGTGATTGAAAATCGCCACTCAACAACTATAACAACGACACGTGTCACTCGTGTCAGTCCAAGCCTCCACTCTTCTTCTCTACTACATAACGGACCATTCTTCTCCTCTGCTTTCTTCACTTTCTCATCTCCTCCATTAGCTCTAATTTCCTCAGTCGCCGTGTGAGTTTTTCAAAGAATCATCGCAAAGTTTCTATCTTTCTACTTAAAGTATCGATTTTGATTGTTCCTCTGTTGAATTCAGGCAAAAGGGTCTCTTTCATAATGGCAACTGTGACTGTTTCTTCACACTTTGTGTCAAGAACTTCACTTTTCAACAATCATGGAGCTTCTTCATGCTCTGATCTGTCTCAGATTACCTTAAAAGGTCCATCCATGACTCACTGTGGGTTAAGATCTTTCAATATGCTGGATAAGCTTCAGAGGAGATTTCAAGCTAAATCTGTTTCTGCTAAATCCTCAAAGGGGTCTTCTAAAGTTAAGACTGGTGGTAAGATTGTGTGTGAGAAAGGGATGTCTGTGATCTTTATTGGAGCTGAGGTTGGTCCATGGAGTAAAACTGGTGGTCTTGGTGATGTCCTCGGTGGTCTACCTCCAGCTCTTGCTGTAAGTTCATATACACATTAGCTTGATTTTGAGGTTTTTACTTGGTTTTTGATGAACCTAAATGTTATGGTTTTTGTTAGGCTAGAGGTCACCGTGTGATGACAATTTGCCCTCGGTATGACCAATATAAAGATGCTTGGGACACTTGTGTTGTGGTTCAGGTAAAATTCTCTCAAGTTTCTTTTGCTCTGTATGGACCTTGATGAATATTATGCTTCTTAAGATGTTATTCAAATGATGAGTTTATGATGGTTAGTTAAGTTATTTTGTAATGTTATCTGATGCAGATCAAAGTTGGGGATAAAGTTGAGAATGTTCGTTTCTTCCATTGCTATAAACGAGGAGTTGATCGTGTCTTTGTTGACCATCCAATCTTTCTTGCTAAGGTTTGTTTATCTTGGTCAGCTAATCACAAGGGTGTGTTGTGCTTTGAGCTCATGAAGAATGGTAATAATGCAGGTTGTGGGTAAAACAGGATCCAAAATCTATGGTCCTATAACTGGAGTAGACTACAATGACAACCAACTCCGGTTCAGTTTGTTGTGTCAGGTAACACTCTTTTCCTTTTACTTCTATAGTTGAACTCTGAGGGTTGTGTTGTTTCTGAGTCGTGGGTTCTCATTTGATTGAAACATGTAGCCTAGAGAGATAATTTTCATAGCTACTGCAGAATCTGTGTTTGAATAACGTATATGCGGCATAAGGACTAACTTGATTTACTTTTGATGGTTGGTAGGCTGCTCTTGAGGCACCACAGGTTCTGAACCTGAATAGCAGCAAGTACTTCTCTGGACCATATGGTGAGAAAATGATTTCTTCTGAACATTAAAACTTCGATTTCTGAAAAGTAACAAATCCTATCTCTCTGATGTTATAGGTGAAGATGTAGTCTTTGTTGCCAATGACTGGCACACTGCTCTCCTTCCATGTTACCTCAAATCTATGTATCAATCCCGCGGAGTCTACATGAATGCAAAGGTATATATATAACTTTTGTTCCTTCATCATGTTAATTAGCTAGTGAGTTTAAAGTAGCAAACTTTACCAAACCTTGAACTGAAACTCTAGCTTTGATACTTTTTAGGTTGTCTTCTGCATTCACAACATAGCCTACCAAGGAAGATTTTCCTTTGATGACTATTCTCTTCTCAACTTGCCCATCAGCTTTAAAAGTTCTTTTGACTTCATGGACGGGTACTGGTTTCTATGAAATTTTCTCATCAGAAGAACAGATCATGACACCATTTGTCTCATGTGTCAATGCTTAAGTTACTGTAACTTTTTGTTCTATTTTCAGTTATGAAAAGCCCGTAAAAGGACGGAAAATTAATTGGATGAAGGCTGCAATTCTGGAAGCTGACCGTGTCTTAACAGTTAGTCCATACTACGCTCAAGAACTCATCTCTGGAGTCGATAGAGGCGTGGAGTTGCATACATATCTTCGAATGAAAACAGTTTCCGGAATTATTAATGGAATGGATGTTCAAGAATGGAACCCGTCTACTGACAAATACATCGATATCAAATACGATATTACCACTGTAAGATTTCTCTTGAAGATCAGTGCATTAAGATAGGAGAAGTTACGGGAAATGTTACCGATCTTGTTACTCGTTTTTACAGGTTACAGATGCTAAACCATTGATCAAAGAAGCACTTCAGGCTGCTGTTGGACTTCCAGTGGACAGGGATGTTCCGGTTATCGGTTTCATAGGGAGATTGGAGGAGCAGAAGGGCTCAGATATTCTAGTGGAAGCTATTTCCAAGTTCATGGGGCTCAATGTTCAGATGGTTATCCTTGTGAGTACACAAAGCAGTGGACTTGTGATCATAACGTCTTTACGATCACAAACTTATTGATTCTTGACTCATGTTTTCACAGGGGACTGGTAAGAAGAAGATGGAGGCTCAGATTCTGGAACTAGAAGAGAAATTCCCAGGGAAGGCGGTTGGAGTGGCGAAATTCAACGTGCCATTGGCTCATATGATCACTGCTGGAGCTGACTTCATCATTGTCCCGAGCAGGTTTGAGCCGTGTGGTCTCATTCAGCTGCACGCCATGAGATATGGAACCGTCCCTATTGTGGCATCTACTGGTGGGCTTGTGGACACTGTGAAAGATGGCTACACAGGTTTCCACATTGGAAGATTCAACGTCAAGGTAACTCAAAATCACCAGCTATTTGCGCTTTTTCTATAACAGTTTTTTTTTGACATTACAACAAATTGATCAAATAATGGGTTACAATTTTGCTTTGTTTTACAGTGTGAAGTTGTGGATCCAGATGATGTGATTGCAACAGCAAAGGCTGTGACGAGAGCCGTTGCAGTGTATGGAACATCCGCAATGAAAGAGATGGTCAAGAACTGCATGGACCAAGACTTCTCCTGGAAGGTTAGCTAGTGATTCAATTCATCTAAAAGTTTGAAACTTTGTTTATATTAAGTTGTTGAAATCAATCTTGATTTGATGTGATGCAGGGACCTGCGAGGTTGTGGGAGAAGGTATTATTGTCCCTTAATGTGGTGGGAAGTGAAGCCGGAATCGAGAGTGAAGAGATAGCTCCTCTGGCGAAGGAGAACGTAGCGACGCCCTGAGAATGTGATTTTGTTTGTGTCAAAGTGGTTGAAGAAAGCGTTGGGAAGCTAGGAGTAGAAAAGGTCTAAGGAAAGGTAATGTATATGGGAAATGTTAAGAGACTTATATAATAATAAAAAGTTTGTGAAAAGAAACCACACAAATCAAAACGCTCAACGAATAAAACAAATAAAACAACTTTTAAACATTACGAGAGAAAACTCTCAAAGACAAAACCTGATACCAAACAGTTACTGAATCTAATAAGCTAAGAGAATAATTACAATGACTCACACTAAACCGTTATTTTAACACTGAGCCTTTGTTTCTCTTAATGTCGACAACTCTTGGACTTTTGGGTTCTCACCACAATAGAGACCTCCCTGAAACCTCCATTGTTCCTATGATCACCCAAAATAAAGCACATAGAGCCCCAATGATCGATAAGCAGAAGAAACCTTTGTTGTTCTTCTTCTTGTCGTTGTTTCCTCCATACTTCTTCCTCTTTGCCGCTGAATCGTTAGCTGTGACAAAAACATTGTTACCTGTGCTCTTAGAAGCAAACCTGAAACGACCACCATTGCTTGACATTCTGACAAGGTTCAGCTTAACAAATGGATTCTCTGAAGCATATGCTGGATTTGCAGGAATGGATTCCAGGAAAGTCCATACACTAGAAGCAAACTTACTAGACTCGTCTTTTGTCGCGTCATCTTCCTTAGTTATACTTACACCAGAAGTAAGAGGGTTTATGAATTCAGATGCATCACCTGTCAAGAGAATATGATTAGGAAAAATGGCCTACATATGAGCAATCGAATGACGTATATATAAAATACTTCAGATCATCAGAAGAGCTCTTTAAGCTGGCTTCATACACCCATTAGAGGGTTTAAAATCTCTCTAAGCCAGTAAAAACATCCATGTAAGAAGAGCTCTAATTGACTGAGAAGCCAGTGGCTTCTCTTACACTAGATAGGCTTCTCTCACACTGGATAGAGCATTTAGTATGCAAGTGAAACAGAGGTATTTAATAATCTGTTAGTTGTTAAGTACCTGTACCAGGCGCTTCACCAAATGGGGTAGCGTTTAGTCCGTCATTATTTATCTCCTGCATCCAAGATGATCCATTGTTTATCTGTCTGGTATAGCTGTTACGAAGTGGCCAGTTGCTAGCTTGGTTCTTCCCTGTGTGCTGCTGGAACAGGTTATTATTGGCCTGGTCGATCACCAAAGAAGTGTTCACCTGAAGACTTTGTGCGAACCCATTTTTCAAACCAACACTGACAGGATCTGACTGAGGATTTGTCGCTCCCAAATCAAGGAAATATGAATCAGTATCAACGAAATCATTATCATTCAGGACACCAGAACCATCCTGGTTCCAGTTCTTCTCCATGACTTCCACAGAAGCTGGTTCAGGTTCAGGGAGCAAAAGATCATCGATTTCCAAATACATATCTTCCTCCAAATTCACCGAATCATATGTTTCGACATGAGAGTTCAGTCCAGACGCCCCATTCTGCTGCACTGTTCGACCAGGCTGATCTCTAACCTGTCTCATCAGCTCTTCGATATCATTATCATCCAATTCAGATTGGTTAATCCCTTTCCCCCATAAATTATTATCGACACCAGCCGAAACAACAAGCTGATTAGCAGGAACATCGAGTACACCAGCAGGCTCATCGACATCATCATCATCTTCAGCCCATTCTTCTTCAATAAAAGGAGCTCCATATTGCTCACCATTCTTAGGACCAGACCCACTTTTCTTATAAATCTTGTAAAGAACAAAAGCATCCTTAACATCACCACCACCACACCTCTTAAGCTCCTCTTCGTGCAATGTATACTCATGCATGACCCAATTAGTCCGTTCACCATTAGGTGCCCTGCCTCTATGGAAAACAAGCGTCTTCTTCTCACCAACGTTGCGCGAATCACACTTAATGACTCTATCTTTCCCTGTTGCTTTCCAATAGCCACGGTCAGTAGCTCTACTTGACCTACTTCCATGTTTCCTATCCCTCAAGCTAAAAAAGAACCATTGACGATCCCTACTCTTATATAACGCTTTCTCTGTATAAAAATAGAGCCCATTTTTCGAGTCAGAAGCTAAGAAAAAACAAGCCTTTAGATCCATCAACCATATATATATAACAATCATACTAGTTCAAATCGATAAATCTATGAATGAAACCGATAAAAATCGAAACTTGAGTGGCTAAAATCAAGATTCTTGAACTATGAACTCATCGAAAACAGAGCAAATCAACCCAATTGTTTATGAAACCGTAAGCAAAAGCAAATGAATCTGAAAGAATTGAAGAGAAAGGAGAAGATTTAAATGAAGGGTACCAGGCAATTCCTCAGGATCAAACTTGTAGACATCAGTCTCGCCGATAGCATCGACTCTGAGTTTTTTCCGACGAATCTTTCTCTTGAGGTAATAGACCACAAGTTCTTCGTCCGTCGGATGAAACCTAAAACCTGGAGCTAAACCTCCGTTCTCAACCGTCAAGTCCATCACTTTTGTTTCAGAGAAGAAAAAAAAAAACCTAAAAAGTTTGGATTTTTGTACCAAATGGAAGAAGAGTCTTATTTTGCGGAATTATTTTTATTTTTCATTTAATTTAATTGGTGTTTTTTCCTTGGAGAAGAAGGTTTGGCTTCCAGAGACGACACGTAGGATAAGTGACTGATTGCAAAATGCGTGAGATTCACGCGATTTCATTTTTAGACATGGGCCTCTATAAATGGGCTTTTCCTTGTAGATGGCCCATAAAAGTGAATGATATTTCTGCAAGTAACTAGAACACAACAGAAGCATCTAGAGAGCTTTGGTCGTGTAAATTTATACAACACTTGTCTTCTCTAGTTCTTCTCAACTTTGATATATGTTTTTTTGGTTCTGTTTTCTCATCAAAAATGAGGTACTTATTCATTTACTCGAAGTTTTTACTTTTTGTTTCATTTATTTAATCCCAAATTATGTGATGTTGCTCTGAAAGTGTTTTTGATATGCTTTCGAAAATTTCAGTAAACATCCAACGGTGAAGTGGGCACAAAGGTCTGATAAGGTTTACATAACCGTGGAGTTACCAGATGCTGAAGATGTAAAGCTTAAGCTTGAGCCACAAGGAAAGTTCTTTTTCTCTGCTACGAGTGGAGCTAGCAAGACACCGTACGAGGTGGATCTTGATCTGTTTGACAACGTTGATGTGAATGTAAGTACAAAGATCGACATTCTTATAAGTGTTCTTGTAAATCAAATTTGGATTTTGGAGATGGTGGTGATATTGGTTTGGCAGGAGAGTAAGGCGAGTGTGAACTCGAGGTGTATCTGTTACATGGTGAAGAAAGCTGAAAGCAAATGGTGGAACAGATTGATTAAGCAAGAAGGGAAACCTCCTGTGTTCTTGAAAGTTGATTGGGATAAATGGGTTGATGAAGATGAAGATAAAGGTACAAGAATGATTATATTACTTAACCGTGGAAGAGCTTTTGGTTATCTTAACTTAGCTGGCTGATCTTTGATTTATTACAAGTAGGAGGAGGAGCGGATATGGACTTTGGAGATTTCGATTTCAATGTAAGACCAATGATTTTGTTTCGAAGAAGAACCTATTTACTAATACTTGTCATGGAAAATAATGAAGTGTTGTTGCTTTTCTGTTTTTTAGAGTCTTAACATGGGAGATACTGATGGCATTGGGGATGAAGGTAAGGATTTGGACATGTATAGGAACATGTTATGTCTTGAGTACATTTGAGAGTTAGATTCGGCTTAGTGATGATCGATGATATGTTCTTTGCAGAAGGTGGTAGTGATATGGAGGAAGAGATTATGGCAGAATCAAAAGTAGCGGAGAAGATTATAGAAGAAGGAGATGGAGAGAAAGACGAAGCTGCATCAGATGTGAAGAAGGATTGAGTTTTATCTTATATATTTGTGTTAAGATTCTTCTATCTTGAGACTTGAAATGGTTTGTGGAATTAGGTTAATACTCTACTGGTATGAATTAGGATGGACAAAGGACAACATTTGGAGAAGCTATCTTTGTCATAAATTAGTCTTTGCATAAATGTGATTGCAAATCAAGAAAATCAGCTATATGTCAAAATTTATAGTTCCTACTTCCTACAATCATATTTGCTGAATATTGATATTTGTTCAACTATTTTTCTAGGAAAATATATGTTTATTCAACATAAATGCACCAATATGTGGATGGCAAATCGGAATGTATATAGCCAACAAACAAAAAACGATAATTAAACAACCTAAAAATAAGCTGATATTCTTTATCAAAACATTTTGGAATTACCCTTTTTTTTAATATTATAAAGTGAAATTTATTTTGTCTAATTAATAAAAGTTTCGCAACAAAATATGTATGCAGAAGAAATTTACCGTTAAAAGAAGTATATATTTTTTTATTATTTTAAAGTTTTTGAGTTGAACCGAACGTGAAAGCTGTAAAGTTGTAAAGGCGACAACTTACAGTCTTACACCAAAGAAGACCAACATTTTTATTATCCGAATGTAATAACTCAAAAAAATAATAAAAATCAGTAACTAAAAAGTTTTAAACTCTCTCTTTCTAAAATAATATATTATTTAGTAGAAAATAAAATATCTTAATTGAGACAAAAAAAAAATAATAAAGAAAAAAAACATAAATATCTAACTTTCTTGGTAGAAAATTCAATTATGAATATATAGAGCGGACCTATGCCGGTGCAAAAGACACGTAAACTCAGATGAGAGAAAGTTCAGAGCAGATCAGAACCGTTGATTATATAAACCAATGCATATTTTCATCAACCTTTGTCAGTTTCCCCAAAAGTAAATAAAAATTCAAAAGGTTTTAAGTTTTTTAGATTTTCAATTAGTGAATGAATCTTCAATGTGAAGTTTGTTTTCTTGCTTTTTAGTTTTTACATTCCTTTTCTTTTTCTTTACTTCTCTCTACATTCGTTTCTATTTTCTTTTAACATATAATATATTCTTTTTTTTTTGGGCAAACACATACTAATATATTCATGCCTTTGTCTTGTAATCAAAACGCAAGTTCATTATAAGTATCTGAGAATGCATTATAAGTATTTTACTTAGACACCTCAACATTGAAACATAATTCCTATTTTTTACTTTAAATTGTGTATGATAATTGAGTAGTCTTGTAGTTTACTTCTTGTCTATAAATTTTTTTGTTGGAGATTTAAGAAGTAATTTTTTTGTTTTTTTTACAAATATTATTTTTAAAATATATACACAAACTTCATCGAGATTCCCTCCTTAAACTACCGACTCAAAAAATATCCCAAATCAATACTTTAATAATTAAAAAATAGTAAGCGAAATAACGAATCACTACCTCATCTTCCGACCACCTTCACTGTAATAAAACTCAAACCTCTCCAATCATCTCCTTCCCTTCAAACTCCATCATTATTCCTCTCTCCTCTCCGCCACCCGCCACCACCACCGGCATTCTCGCCGGAACCCGTCCCAAACAATGAAGCTTACCACCATCCACCGCTCTTCTCTCTTATTCCTCCTCTCAGTGACGGTTATTCTTCCGGCAACGGTGACTTCAATCGGAGTAAACTACGGTCAAATCGGAGACAACCTCCCATCACCAACCGACGTAATCCCACTAATAAAATCAATCGGAGCAACAAAAGTAAAACTCTACGACGCAAATCCACAAATCCTCAAAGCTTTCTCCAACACCGGAATCGAATTCATCATCGGACTCGGCAACGAATATCTCTCCAAAATGAAAGATCCTTCAAAAGCACTAACATGGATCAAACAAAACGTAACTCCATTTTTACCGGCGACTAACATCACCTGTATCACCATCGGAAACGAAATCCTCGCTCTTAACGATTCTTCACTCACAAGCAATCTCCTCCCGGCGATGCAAGGAGTTCACTCTGCTTTAATCACCGCCGGACTCTCCGATCAAATCACCGTCACCACCGCACATTCTCTCTCAATCCTCAAATCCTCATTCCCACCTTCCGCCGGCGAGTTTCAACCGGATCTACTCGATTCACTAACACCGATCTTAGAATTCCACCGGAAAACTGATTCTCCGTTCTTAATCAACGCGTATCCTTTCTTCGCTTACAAAGGAAACCCTAAAGAAGTACCTCTCGATTTCGTTCTGTTTCAACCTAATCAAGGAATCGTAGATCCGGCCACCGGATTTCACTACGATAACATGTTGTTCGCTCAAATCGACGCCGTGTACTCTGCTTTAGCGGCGGCGGGGTATAAGTCGTTGAGAGTTGAGATATCGGAGACGGGATGGCCGTCGAAAGGAGACGACGATGAGGTTGGAGCTACGCCGGAGAATGCGAAGAGGTATAACGGAAACTTGATTAAGCTGATGATGAGTGGTAAAAAGACTAAAACACCCCTGAAGCCTAATAATGATCTTAGTATTTACGTTTTTGCCCTTTTTAATGAGAATTTGAAACCTGGTCCGATGTCGGAGAGGAATTATGGGTTGTTTAAACCTGATGGGACTCAGGCTTATTCACTTGGGTTTGCTTTAAACGACGTCGTGAGAGGGGCTAGTGGTGGCGGTGGCGGTGGCGGTGGCAATAGTAGTAGTGGTGGAGGAAGGGAAAAGACGCCGGTGTTTCCGGTTTCTCCGGTGGCGCCGGATAGTGCGTCCACTGGTTATTTGGCAATTTCTGCTTCTCCAGTAACGGTAAGATTCTTCGAATTTTCTTTTTGGTTAAAGTTTCCATCTTTTTTTTAAGTAAAGCATAAGATTCGTTTTTTCAACCTTAAGTTATAACTTTGTTATGCACTAAAAGTTATTCCATTTTAAGAATCACAACCAAAAAAATTTGGAGAAATGGTTAGTTCCAAGATTAGTATATTTCCTACATTAAATGAGATTTAAATCAATTTTATTTGCTATATTTAAAGTTTATTATAATGACCCAAATTTATACTATATGATACCACATTTCTCCTATCATTTTCCATAAAAGTACCTTTAAAATAATATAAATTGTTGTTGAATTGATAAGAAATAACTTTTGTTGTGGTTAATCTAATCAATGCCAAGTTCATTTTTGAGTATTAAGTGATAAGCAAATGCTTTTATGCGAAATTGTTGCAGGGGAGAAGAAAAGGGAAAGGGGCAATATTGTCAATGGTGGTAGTGAGCATGTTACTGGCGAGACACTTACTTTGATTACACGAAACTTGAGTTAACTTATAGAAGCAAAAGCTGTCCCCAAGCTTTTTTGCATTCTTCTTAAATTCCAGATACTGTCTATTTTCACGGCTATTTTTTTTTTTTTTTGTCTTTTTTACTCCTATAATCTTTATGTTAGAAATTCATTTTGCACCTTATGTAGTATGAGGATCACATTTAATTTATATATCCCCAATCAATAATACTCTTTTTTTTTCAACCATCAATAATACGCTTCTTATGTTAGTGAGGATCACATTCGGTTTAATTATCTTCGTGTCTATTACACTATTCAATAAACAGCGATCTATCGTCTATTGTTGTTATTAGTATTGTAAGTGGTTTACGAGGTTTTATATCAATTAATATTTTTTTAAAGTGCATAAACCACAATCTAATGGTTATCGTTTATAGCACTTAAATGTTGATCCATAAGACATAGAGTTTGCACATTAAAAATATAAGCTAAACAAATTTCTAAGCTAAACAATTATTCATATTACATGCTGTGGTTTCAGGCCTAGAGGATTACGGGCTTTGGCCCAGAAACTCTGAGTATTCCAAAAAAAAAAAATCTCATAACCATAAAGCAATAACAAACTAAATAATAAAAATGTAAATTATAACAGTCAACAAAAAATCAACGTATAAGTCAACACAAAGTCAAAAACAAAAATTCAAAGATAAAAGGCATACGAGTCTTTTTTAGCTAGGTATATTGTCACTAGGGAGATCATTAGTTGGGGTTTGGTTCATATGGGTATGATTTACCTCAATCTAGTGGTTTAAGCTCCTAATTATAAACTAATCCACTTCCATGGTACTAATTTATTCACTAATTAGTAATTACTCTTAATCATGCTAAGAAACATAGTGATCATTAACTTCATGCTTAAACACCCTACAAAGCACTCTAAAGATCAACTTTTATTGGCAAGATTATGCTTTGCTCTTTAAGATTGAAATTGACATTCCGTCAAACACTTTGTATGCATAAAATGTCTATGCTTAGAATTTTAATTTTCCAATCAAATCCTAGCCACAAATCCATTCCTAATGATAGAATCCTTAATTACTAACCCTAAGTTTATATATATATTTTTTTAAAAATATATAATATGAAATATATATGAAGATAAGCAAAATCCTAGGCAGAAAGAACCTCTGGTCCGTGCAAAATCTGAATTAGCTTTTGATTGCTCTGTGGTAGAGGTAAATTATATATATTCAATATTGTCCTGCATGAAGAGTCTGTTCCTGGGGCGCACACAAGGTTTGCAGTCCAATTGCTTTGGTATTAATTCGAAACAGTCAATGGTTAGTACGAATCATGGGAACGAAAGTCTCTCCGGGGCTACAGTGCATCAGGAAAAGAACAATACGAAGTCGATGCTTAGTAGCTCAGAGGGTGAAGAATGCATGAGTGCATGACTGAGAAGAGATGTAGCCACTATAGCACAGCAACAAAAGATATCGAAAAGACTATTAGCTACATAAAAAAAGAAATGCAAGAAGCAAGTGCAAAAGCTTGTACAAGAGCACAAGGAAAAAAAGACGGAGCTGTTGAATATATATGTAGACAAGAAGCAAAAACTTGAAACTAGAAAAAAGTTGGAAGCAGCAGTAATTCGTATTTCCAGTTCACGGACCGGTACCCAAGTGGATGATCTCAAACGGCTGGATGATGAATTTGAAAGAAAGTTTGATGAAATCAAAAGTGAGAAAATGATAGAACAAGTCATGTGGGTCCTGATGCTGATAACATTTTGTACCAGCAGAACAGGAAAGCTCGTTCTCTTGACAAGGAAATTCCTGATGAGTTAGGGTTGCCTATGCCACACCCTGCGTTTGTGGTAGAGACGAAGGGTGCTGCTGAATCGGATCAGGTACTAACTGGCCCTATAGAATACTTGATTCTTTGTTCATTTAATGTTTTCCTGCCAAAATAGCGGGTACCAATCAGATGCCTTTATTTTCTTATTAAACTCGCTTTTCTGGACAGGATGATCAAGATAAATGTCCTATGCCTTCTTCACCGGCTGGAAAACAATAAACACTCAGGGCCAGAATATTGAAGCACCAATTGAGCCCCAGTGTGCTGGATCAGAAACAGTAGAGACTACTGATTGTGCTGCATCAAATCAAGTAGAGCAGTCAACCTATGCAAGTCAGTAACTGCCCTGTGCATCTAAATATTACGTAGGTGTTTGTCAAACTACTGACAAATGATGTATTTGTGATGATCTTGTCCATGAAGGTGGTGTGGAGCTTTCAGCAGGTGTTACAGCTTCTGTTCCATCACTTCTAAACAATGGTACTGGACAGAGTGCCGTTCAACCTGTTCCTCAAATACTTTTCCGTGTGTTCGACGACCCGTTTCTGCATGAACTGGAGAAGTTGCAGAGAGAATCAGAGAACTCAAAGAAGACTTTTGAAGAAAAAGTCAGTTGTCCTCAATACTCAGTTGCCTCTAGTTTTGGTTTATTTTCTCACTATTCATTGACTGCTTGTGAGCATAAATCAATCTTGAAAGCTGAACTAGAGAGAAAGATGGCTGAAGTACAAGCAGAGTTTCAAAAAAAAAAATCAATGAGGTAGAAGCCGAACATAACACCAGAACGACAGTCGACAAAGATAGAGGCGAGTAAGAATCTTGTGATAATGAACAAACTGATAAGAGTATTGCGTTCTTGTCCAAATGTACCGACAAGAAGGCATCTCCCTCAGCAGCTCCAAGTGGTAAGTGCTCGAATAATAGAGCAAATTGGTTAGAGATATAAGGCGATGAACTCACAATAGCACTTTTTGTCCAGGTTGAATTCAGCACCTAGCACAGAGAGCAGCACAAGTGAACGCGCTGAGAAATTACACTGCTCCTGCTCCTGCTCCTGCGGCTCTGCAGCTTCAGTCATCTTTGTTTCCTACTCCTGCTCTGGCTCTTCTGCAGCTTCAGGCATCGTCATTTCCGGCTCCGGCTCTTTTGCAGCCTCAGGCATCTTCATTTACTTCTTCAGTCTCGCGTCCATCAGGCCTTCCTCTGAATTCTACGGTCTGCCCAATGCCTCAGCCAAGACAGCCACTCATATCCAACACGGCTCCAACTCCGTCAGATTCTCCTGCAACTAATCAAATTGCCAATGCAAGTCTACATTCTCCTGCACCGCACTTAAGCTCATATAGGCCAGCCCCTTCAGTTCCCGTAGACACAGCTACTCTAACCTTGTCGTTGCCTCCTCAAGCTTTAACATATTCAGCTGTATTAATTCAGCAGCAGCAAGAACAACAACCGCAACAAAGCTTGAGCAGTGGATTGCAGGGAAACAATGATGTGGTTTGTCTTTCTGACGACGAGTGATCTAAGTCGACAGGTGTTTAGGATCTAGTCATTGATGATTTACAGAGAGTTGATAATATGTATGTTTAGGATAAGTTGGTTGCCTAAAAAACTAATGACTTGGATGTGAATTTTGGAGTTGTGATTAATCTAATTCAGCGAGTCAGGGACCGACGCTGTTAGCGACGAGTCTTCTTGAAATGAAACGTTCTAATTTAAAATACTGTAGACTAACTGTATAAGCAGAAAACCCAGAATTATAAAGTGACCAATAAAAATCTCAAAATTCAAAGTTTGTTAGATTTTAAGACCCCAAAACTGTATAAATAATAAAAGACTCCAAAACACCAAGGAAGAATACTTGGAAACAATAGACTCAAAAACACCAACTTGAAAACAAAAGAAAACACCATCTGGAGGGGTCCTTAACATTATGATGTCCATGTGTCATGCATGTCTTTCAAGCTGCTCAGGCTCGTTGCATTTTGTGATTTGCAGTACAGGTCTTCCAGTTTTTTTGAAGATTTGCCATTGAGCAGCATTTCCTTTAGAATATTTCGCAGTTGTTGCAAGAAATTCTGGACATCCTTCCCATCTATTTTTTTCTCATCTTCTTCAAAAATGCGGTGACAGACAAGAAAACGACGCAATTCAAGGTCGATCATCTGAAACTAAACAAAAGAGAACATTACTTACCTCATCATGTGCATATTATTCACTTGATGAATGATCAATTTTTTAATTCGCTTACAAACTCTGATTGGCGTTGACTTTTGAAGTATAAAGCAGATCTCTTTGTCACGATTGACACAAAGACCGAGTCGGGATGATTTATCTCGGGACCATAACATTCCATTGCATCATTCCAATTCTTAAATGCCAAATCAGCCTGCTCATTGGCTGCATCATTCCATTTCTTAATTGCCAAACCAGCCTGCTCATTGGCTTCCAAAATACTGGCGTAGCAACTTCCATGATGCGCCGCCAACATATCATGTGCGTATGCGACCTTATCTTTCCCGAGAGACTCTAACAAAGCTGATGCCTCTTTTACAGCGTCATCGGCTGAAAGACGTAAAGAACCCTGAGTGTTTTCCGAGGTGCTCTTCAACTCAGTAGGTGCATCAACAGTTGTGAAGTTTACACACAATAATCTACCAAGCACAAGATACGTAACAGCAAGTTTCAACTGGACATCATCTCTTGTCGTTTCTGGAAGCATTCTACGCTTTTCAAGGGCACGACTGACTCCTTTCTTTGCTTCCATGTAATACTGGAGTGAGCGGATGTATTCTTTTGTTGCAAGCTCCAGATGAGTTTTTTTCCGAGCTTTAAGCTTATATTTCATCATCTGCTCCTCCTTTTCTGAACCCAGATTTTGGCGTAGAGAACCTAAACTGCAGTAGCAGCCTATAAGATTAGCATAATCACCGCTGTCCATACATGCCTGAGCAGATTTAACCATTGCGTCTTCACATTCCTTGAAGTTTGCGATTTTGTAATATTCCATACTAATTCTATGCCATACCCACGCTTTCCTTACGTGAAGAGAAATCAACAACTTACAACCGCTTGGTAATGCTTTTTGAACTTGATTATAACAATGCAACGCAGTAAACAGGTTTGTTTCTGCATCATTCTTCCTAGACTCCTTGAGGTATTTGAATATCCCACCTCTCTCTTCCTCCTTGCTCTTGCTCTTGCTCTTGCTCTCTTCCTCCTTGCTCTTGCTCTTGCTCTTGCTCTTGCCGCCCTTGCCCTTACCTTTATCAACCGGGCAGAGGCAATTCACTAACAAACATGAGGCACATTCATGCCTGCATGTCGTTAACTTGTTCTTTAACTTGTTTCCTACCTTTTCATTATGAAGCCGCACTTCTTCCTTTACCACTTTTTTTTCCGTTACCACTTCAGACCCCTCTGATGAAAGAGGAATTATTATAAACTTCGCATAGATATCACCAACCAACAGCCACACTTTAGCCCAGAAGAGGTGTTTTGGTGAAAGTTGCTTCAAACTGGTATCGTCTTTCACTTCCTCTGTTGAGTATTCCTCCTCTTTGACCCACTTCGCAAATTTTGGGATATCAAAAGGCCGTGAAATAGAATCGCGCAGCGTAGAATCAAACAGAGTCTTGTCATAACTGTGTGGTAGTGATCCATAGATGGAGCAAGCTTCTTTTATAGTACGCAGAGCTTGGTCCAGCTTTTCCTCCTCTTTGTAAGCTTCACCCAAAGAGAGATAAGATTCACCAAGAAGCATAATTAAACCCCACAACTTCTTGTCTATTATAGATGTTGAAAGCCAATCACCCTCCTGCTCTGAAGACGGTAGTTGTTTCTGCATGTCCGTGAGAAACTTTATAGCTTGTGAAATATGGTCAACTGCTAGAAATGATTCCTTCTCTGCTGTTTTAGGCTCAAACAACTTTTTGTTAGTCATTATGAGCCTTGCCAACTGCTCGCGTGCACATGCATGAAGAACCTATTCAGCATGGTGTTACTAATTAGTACCCATCAATGTTTAAAAACAGAAAAAAAAAGCTTAATGATATTTAGAAAAAGAAAGAAAAAAAAACGTATGACAGAACACTACCAGTGGCAATGAGCTTGCGCATGAAGAGTGGTTCTTTGAAGTAGTGGAAAAGTCAAAGAGCTTAATTTCATCTTCCTCAGCGCTTTTGTAGAGCTGAAAAAGAAGAAGACATAAAGTAAGTAGTGACATCTACTAATGATAATTCCAAGAAAAAAAAGTAATAGTTTGGCAGAATTACCCAGTAAACTCCAGGATCCCCTTTGCATTTTGATTGAAGAAACCTTAGAACAGCAGGGCCGTTTTGTTGAACAACACGTGAATCCCCAGTTGGTAGAAGAAGGTCATACCCTTGGACAACACTGTTCTGATTGTAAATCGCTAGCTTGGGCACACTGGTCAAATCATTATTAAGCCAAGCTTTAAGCCATGTTAAAGTTGAAACCTGTAAAGAGAATGATTAGCAGAGAGTCTACTGAAAAGAATAAAGAAGAGAATAATTCGGGCCGGGGTATAGTAACCTGTTGGCTAATAAGAGGCGAGAAACCCAAGCTTGCGACCGCATAGTTTACAATGTCGAACCGAAGCAGATCACGGCGTAAGATGTGGAATGGACAATTTGGATCCACGTCTCCTGTAGGTTTAGGCTTCCCAATGAGTCTCTCGGCCTCTTCAACATCAGGTCTGCATCACACAGGAAGGATAATTCTGTTAAACTCAAAGAAGAAATGTGGGAAATTGACGTACTCCATTAACAAAGAAGAAGGAGAAAACAAGGGGAAGTAAACAGCTCCTTAGATTCTAGGGAAGGAAAGTGGTAGACGTGATGAATACAATCGACTAAAACAAATAACTGGTTATCCTAGATAACAAAGTAAATCCTATCAAATTCCTAAAATATAAAGAATTCTCATTGAAAATTGCATAACTCTAAACAAAAGATAGAATAAGTAACGCTCACCCGGAATTTAAGGCAAGAGTCTCTATACGCCGCTGAACTAATATGGAGACCCGAAATTTCGGGTCAGCTGGCTTCCAGAATTGTTCAAGAACTTCCACAGGTGCAATAACATCAGCAAGAGCCTCGTCACCTTAACCAAATTACGTACTAGTCAGAGGAAACCCTAAATACTCTCCAATAACCCTAGATGCTTGAAAAGAGTAAGACATACCTGCTAGCTGCACGTCCTCACCGATCTTCATCTCTGCGACGGGTTTGGTTCGCATCTTTTTCGTTCGTTGAAAATTTTCGGGTTTAAAAATTCTGAAACTGACGAGATTAGGGTTGAGATCGATCAAAGAAATTAACAGAATCCCAAGATTTAACGAGAAAGAATGAAAGTGTTTTCTTTTGAGATCGATATATTTCATATTATATATTTTTCCTTAAAAGTGAAATATATATATTTTTTTAAAAACTTCATATTCACTCTTGTAACTGATATATCGATAATTGATTCATTTATTACAGTGTTAAGTATATGTTTTTAATAGAAAAAAAACTAGACAATTGATTACAAGATTTATTTTTGACAAATATTCATTGCAACTGTAATGGGAAGTACTCACTCCGTCCCACAAAGATGAATTTTTTAGAAAAAAAAATTTTCCTACAAAAATAGAAGTTTTGTGTTTCCAATGTCAAATTTAAAACAATTTATCTATTTTACCCTTATTAAACAACAATAAATAATATACTCTTTAAAATGTGTTAAAAAGTTAAAAGGTTAAAATTGTTATTATACATTATTTCTTAAAGAATGTGAAATTTCTAAAAAATCTATCTTTGTGGGACAGAGGGAGTATCAAATAAGATTTTAAAAGTAGATAAACCAAAAATGAGATATGTATTTCTTTGTTTTCACCATTAGACGAATAAAATCACCAAATTTTTTACCTACTTAAAACTTACATATATATCATTTCTTTTTTCTAGAATTCAAATTTAACTTGATTTCAGTAGATAATTGTGATCTAAAATAAAAATAAAACTTGTATGACAAAGAAAAGCAAAATCTATGGAGAGAATATAAATAATTAACTTTCACTCATTTTAATGATTTCATTTTCATCTAATATTTATTTATAATGATTTTTATTGAGCTAAATATATTTTAGTATATAAACACTTAGTGAGTTGCACTTAAATTAAAATTTTATAGGGGTCATTTAAAATAATAGTTAATTATAATTAGACTAGTTTTAAAATTTTCATGGGTGTCAATTGACCCCAATTCTATATCACTATCTCCGCCTATGCATTTCTATGTATTTGTAATTAGACTCATTAAGAATGCAAAATCAAAATGATAACAAAAAGAACAATTCAGTGGCATAAAACCTTATCATAAGATGTGTGGTGACCACCTCCCAAGCCACCATAATGATTGTTAATGGCATATAGCCCATAAACATATGACTGGCCGTCTTAGTTTTTTGCATACTTGCTTAAATCTACATATGTACTATTAGTTTTGTAAATTGTTTCGAAGTCTATAAATGTTAGCTGTGAAATGCATTAGTAAAGTATATTACATCCAATAAAATTAACAATCTGCTTTAACAATCAAATCTAAATATAACAAATGATAACAAATATATCCGAAATTTATAATATTCTTCTAAAGGATGAAAGTAAAAAAATAAAAAATCTCAGTCTTGTCCGAAAATCACATTACAAAAAATATGAACAGTTAATTTAGTTTTTGCACTCAATATTTAATGTGATTAGAAATGAACAGTTACTAGACTTGTAACTGTGACTTCTCTATATATATTTTCCTAAAGTAAATACAATGGAATTAAATAGTTTACATATATGGAAATAAACTTCTTGCTCAAGGTATTAAACGGATTGTTGGAAATGGGCAGGAAATCAATATATGGCATGATAATTGGGTCCCATCTAATCCTCCTAGACCAGCTAAACACAATGGCGATCCCGATATATCTTTGCAGTTGGTTAAAGATCTTTTGATCCCAGGAACTCATAGATGGAATGATCATCTCATAAGTAGTATTATTGCCCCTGAAGATAGGCCTTTGATAAAATCTATTCGGCCATCTTTAAAAGGTGTCTCTGATACTATTTCTTGGATTCATTCTAAGGATGGAAATTATACTGTTAAATCTGGTTATTGCTTGCTGCGTCAACAGGCTTGTGCTAAGGCATCATCTATAAACAATCATGCCTCTTCTAATCTTTTCAAAGATATTTGGCATGTGAATGTTCCCTCAAAGGTTAAACACTTTTGGTGGCGTGTTTTACATGATGCTTTACCTGTTGCAGTCAATCTGAGGAGAAGGAGTTTGAATGTTAACAGCATTTGCCAAATGTGTGGAGAAGCTGATGAAACGGTGAACCATCTGTTGTTTCAATGTAGACTATCTAAGGAGATCTGGGATCTGGCACCGTTACAAAATCTATCAGGTTACTCTCCAAACACTTATTCTCTTTTGGATAATATACAGATGATCTTAAGGCTCAATGAGAATCACCAACATAATCTGCAACTCCTTTTCCTTATTGGATGGAGAATCTGGAAAATGCGGAATGATCTAATTTTTCAGAATAAAAGGCATTCTATTCCAGACACAATAAATAAGGGGCTGATAGATATTTTCTCTTTGGAATAAAGCATGTGATTTGGATCAAAATGTAAAGGCGAGCCACAACGCTACCCAACAGTTCATCAATGCAGTTCCTCATACGTTTGAAGAGGCAATAAGTAAGTGTAACAAATATTGCTGCTTTGTAGATGGTTCATGGATCTCTCCTTTACATCAAGCTGGGGTTGGATGGGCACTTTATAACAAGCAGTCCAATCTTGTCCTAAAAGGATCGTCAGCTATAGATCCAACTAATTCACCTCTTAAAGCAGAAGCAGAAGCTCTAAGATTGGCGGTTCATCATATCAGAAATTTGGGATACACTGAAGTTACTTTTGCAGGAGATAATGTCGATCTTTATAAGCTGTTAGCAAGGAAAGAAGCTACACAACCATCAGAAAGATGGAATCACAATACAGTCTCTACGTACATCAGAGACATTCTGCAGATGATCAATGGTGATACCACATTCAACTTTATGAAGATCTCCAGAGAAGCAAACTTGGTTGCTGATTGTTAATGGGTTTGACAAAACCAACAATTTGGGCCTACATGGGCCTGACGAAAATGGCAAAAGAAGAACAAAAGTGGTCCATCATAACACTTATATATTCTCTACGTTGGGAGAAGAAGAAGTAGTGGTGGTAGTTGAGAGTGACAAGACAATCTAAAGAGAGTTCTAGAGAAGAGAGATACAAGAGCTTCCCAAGCAAGCTTTCTTCTTTCTCTTTGTTGATCTTTGATCTTGTTCTTCTTGAGTGCAAAAATCTGTAAACCAAAACAACATCACAAGTTTGTGGTGTGTGTGTAACCTCTTTGACATAGTGAAGCTTTGGGAGCAAGAGATCTCCCCCGAGACGTAGCGGGCCGTGAACTCGGTTATCAAATTCTGTGTTTGTTTATTTAGCAAGTTAACTCACTCACTCTTTGATCCACACTGATATTTTAGCTAAGAGTGCAAGAACAAACCAATCAAGTTATGCAATCAAGTGGAACAATGTATTCTGATGTTTACTAATGAAATGGTAATTGACGACAAAAAAAAAAAAAAATAGTTTACATATATACATTTGGGAACGTAGAACACACTTTTACTCTTTCTTCATTTTATGAATGAAGACAATGTCCAAGTAGTTTTCAAAATAATTATGTTCTTTGATATGAAGAAATACAATAATAGCTTTTTTTTTTTCTTTCTCATAACTATACAACAATAGCTAAGAGGAGAAGATTCATTTTTGGGTCTAAAATCAGTAATAGTAAACCAATTCCCACATAACATGTAGCGACATTTACTTGAACGAACTTAATAGTAACTAGTGTAAAACAAAACCGATGTGATTAGTAACTATATCTTTGAATATCTCAACGAAAATAAGAACAATATGCCAATTTCTTCCCTACCTAGTCACGATAATATGTTTTTCGCTGTCCAACTCACTGGGAATAAAATAATAATAAACCCTAACAAAACAAGCTTTAGAATCTGAACTCTATTAGTCAATCAGCTTTAGAAGAAAATATTAGAGCATGGGATCAATGAATGGATCTTGAGCAAAGTAAATAAATTCTATCATGAATCCTAAAGAAATAATGGCTATTTTCCGACTAATCCATTTTCATATCCGATGTCTCTGATTCACTTTTCACTCTTTGATAGAACAAAACGTAAGCAGCCGGAGTCTTGATCTCGTATTCATTTACAGCTGAAACACGGCTGTCATCAAAATCATACCATTTGTTCTCATCCATCAACTGCATAAGCAAACAGCCACATATTAGATCCATGTAATTGTAATTAGACTCATTAGGAATGCAAAATAAAAATAGATAACAAGAAAAACCAATTCAATGGCACAAAACCTTAGCGTAAGCAGTGTAGTGACCACCTCCCAGGCCACCATAATGATTGCTAATGGCATACAGCTCGTAAAGATATGACTGACCGTCTTTGTTCGTTACATACTTGCTTAAATCTAGACCATGAATCGGGAAATTCACTAATGTATCAATCTTATTCTTGAAATATCTGCTATACGTGAACCGTTTCAAGTGGAACACAAGAATATCTGGCAACTTCCACAAGTCTAGCTTCTTATTCGCTTGTCTATGTTCTTTGCAACCAGGACAATACCACATATCATCTGGTCCTAAAGGCTCTTCCGCTAGAAAAGCTTCCAAGCACGAAAACAAAGATATTTCCTCTTGCCTTATCTTCTTTGCCAAGAAACTTGTTTTATGAACCTCAGGTAGATCATTCAAGTAGCTGGAGTCATATTTCTCATGCTCTTTCTCATTCCACTTGACTAGAACCTTTGTAACACTACCAGGATTCACAACAGAATCGGAATCAAGTAGCTGGAGACTGAAAGAATGGTAATCTGGCAAGAGGCTGAAAGATAATTCTCTATCATCAACTGCATTATCTTCTGTTTCAGTGTCTCTAGATGATGCACTTCTGGATGATTCATCTGCAACATCTGGAACGTGGCTATTCTCGTTTTCACTATGAACTATGGATGACATATGAACCCGGCGTAGAGGTGACAGCAATCCGAAGATGCTTGCAGCAATGTCAGATCCAGTAAGTGGTTCTTTGTTGATATAAGTGACAAGGGGAGTTCCAAAAAGCTTTGGGCCTCTGCCACTATCATACCTGTGAAATTTGAGAATTTTAAATCCATTAGAAGTAGAACTCAAGAAGGAAAAAGAAAAATTCTTGAATGACAGATTTTAAAGTAAGCAAGCTAACTTTTCCTGCTCCCCATGAAGAATTTCAAGTTTGACTTTTCCTAAACCTTTGTGCATCTGGTTGAACCGATATGCCACAATACGTTCATTGTCTTTTATCCCATTCAACAACTCCAGGGGATTCTCAAAATATTTAAAGACCTTGTGGTCATATACCTGGGAAGATAATACCACAATTTAGTTGAGTCTTTTTTACAAGATGTTAAGGAGAACAAATATAAGAAAGAGACTCACTGAAATTATTACCTCTGCGAGTAAAAGGCTTTCGTCATTGTTTAAGCAGCAAGCAGTGCCTAATGCATTACTGAGGTCTCTACAAGAACCATCTTTAGGAACTGTTACAGTGTATGGCATCGGAAGATGGCTTCCATCGCCATAAAACACTGTAACAGTCATTGATCGAGTGCGACTCGATGGCAACGGCAAAGATAAGTACATGAAGGGATCAAAGGTGATCGAGATTTTTCCACAATCTGGGCAGACCAGTGTTGACTTGTATTGTCCCTGAAGTGAAACAGACCGCATGAGGAATGGTCAGAACAGGCAAAGAAGAGGCAGTAACTTCAAATACATTTTGGGTTAACAATAACCTCAAATACTTGTTAATATACATTTAGGATGGAAAAAGGTTACAAGAGAGGTAAGAAATGCTTTACTTGGCAGACGTCAACTATCACTGAGTCATTTCGGGCCTTGTGGTATTTCCACTTTTCTTCAGCTACTTCATCATCTGGACGACCATCTGAATCTTTAGCTTCAATATAAGGTTTTCGTTTTACCTTGTTCAAGTCTTCATGGAGCCCATCCAATAAGAAAGCAAGCATTTCCTGGAACAATGAGCTAACATATCATACATCAAGAGATAAAGAAGCACTGGTTTCCTAGTGGAAAGGAAGTAAAAAATCCAAGAGATACACAGATTTCCTCCAACTATTAACCATGCACCATAAACCATTTTAGAGAACAGGACTTACTTGAGAATCATGCTGATTATAACCACTAAATTGTGGAGCAAATCGAGCCAATTTTGTCTTAAAAGCACGTGGAGCAACTGCATTCTGTCCAGATGACCACAATTTCCTCAACAGCTCACCAAATGCAATTGCAAGCTCACCCTGCATTAGATATATAGATTCGTTTGAATGGCTTCACATGGGAGAATATAAACAGAGACAAAAACTCTCAAGCTCTTACACGCATTCCCAAAGGATTCTCTGCATTTATGTCGGAGCTGTAATCTTGTAGAAAATATTCAACAATAGGGGGAGTATGGGCCAAACACTGAAGAGTACTATTCATGAAGCATGTATTTCCCAAATTCTGCAATCCTCCTAAACCTCTCCTCTCTCCTTTCCCAAAAGTACTTGAAGAAACATCATCTTCGAAAGCGTTTCTCCCAAAGAGGCTAAACTTGGAACCGTTGGAGTGACCATTAGATAAGTTCCCCCCACCACGCACAATATCCATAGCATCTGACCTCGTAGGCTCTAGAGGTACCAGAGCTAATTCATTTCCGGCCAAGCTCATGTCATATTGAGAAGATGCAGAACCATCAACATCAAGAAGAATCTGCATGGAATGCACACATCAATGCTAAACAAATATAATTATTGTAAATAAAGGCTAGCCAAAACGAGATGTTGGTTCAGTGACAATTTAAGAGCTCGAAATTAAACAGAAATATTGAGAACAAACATAGACCAACGGCAAAAAGCATCTATCCAAGGAGTTTCAGCCAATAAAAAGTTCATGAGAAAAAAAATTCACAATGACCTTATATGTATAAACAATAATAAAGTAAGAGAAAAAGGCAATCCATCAAAAGCTTTCATGTAACTGAGAGAGTTTTCAAGTCACACTTACATCCTGGTTTAGTTGAAGGCCTGATTCCTCCACGCTTTTTTCAGATGAAGGATCCAAGAGTACACTTTTCTTCTTCTCAAAGTAATCCCAGATGCGAGCCTGCTTACACAAAATCAAATATTGAGCCACCAATACATCTTTGAATAAAAAAATGAGGTATATCATCATCGCCTAAGACAAAGAAGAAAAGAAAAGCTTTCGAGTAGACACCTTTTCTTTTGCTACCCCTCTTCCAGCACAAACCATCTCATAAAGTTGACCTATAGAAGCCTGGAACATCAACAATCCATATCAGATATAAACAATAATCGCACATAGTCTTTCCCATTTCATAAACACTCCAAATGGTCTATAGTTGTTCACAGCCTAAAATACATACGCAAGGTGGTACGCAGCGGGCATCGTACCTGTTTGCTCAACCTTATGATGGTAGTGCTTTCGTCTCTACTATCTGTCAACTTAAGACAGAGTGGGTAAACCTCCACACTAAAGCTCTTAGTGTAAAATCCTTGAGAGATCAACTTCCTTGGTAATGGAGGACCTCCTTTATACCTGAGAGATATAGAAGCAAATTAGCCCACTGAAAGCATCCCTCAACAGTAGATGCAAGAGGAGAACGGTTGGTCATGTCATCATTCAAAACAAAAACCCAATAAACTGGTGAATTATAACATGAATCACCATTCAACGAGTTTTCTCCAAACTTGTTGAGGAACTAGAGTATAGTCGACGCCTTCCTCCAGCATGATACGAAGCTGCGGATCACTAGCATCACTTTCACTATCAATTATATCATGATTATCAATTGGACCAGGCCTGGTAACTTCTGAAGTCTCTTCTGTTAGTAGGCCAACAAATCTCTGCCACCTTGTATACCACCTGTGATAACAACAGATAAACGTTGAAATACATCCAAATCTGGTCTAAGGATATACAACATAGGACAAGGGATCGCAATGTACAAAGACCTATTTGAGATAACGAAATACAAGTTTCCCTCTTTCAAATCAGCCTCCGCTTCGTTATTAAGCTCTGTCACAATACGTCTCTCTTCCTCAGGAGAATAAGGAACTTCACAAACTCCGGTGGATTCAGAATCAGGGATTGTCATCGTATCCGAATCAAACTACAAAAACAAAATCAAGATCCGTCAAACCAAAAAAAAAAAGAAAAAGAAAAAGTCAATGACGATTCAAAATTTGCCAATCGGGAATATGTCAACGTACAGTGGAATCGGAAGAAACAGAACAAATTCGAGAAATTGAAGGAAAGCGAAATCGAGATAAGCAGTTTTTCCTCTGTGAACAAAGAAGAATTATTAGAAAGAGAAAGAAATTGTCAAATCGGAGAGACTCTAGATTGGAGGAAAAGAGAGAGAAAACGGACCACGGCGGAGAGAAATCGGCAGAGATGATAAGAAGAGAAACGACGATCCCTTTTATGTCTTTTGATCGTCTTCACTAAACAACGGCCATTCTCATTCATTTTTTTATTATTATTATTTTTAACCGATATATATATTCATATTAATGTCACTATGCTTTGATTTTTATTTCTTACTTTAACATTTTTTTTATCTTTTTATATAAGAAAATTATATTGAATTTTACTAGATTTGGATGGAATTATAAACAGTTGAGAATTATATTCCTTACCAGAAATTTTTCCCTTTAAAGAGTTAACATTTGTAAAGCAAAGTATATATTATTATTTGCCTTTTTCTCTAAGTTTTCCTATTTAGTTTGCGTAAATTCAATTTCATCCTATAAAAAATTGGACACTTTTTCATTTTTTTTTCAGTAATAAAAATGGTATTTTTTTCATGAAAAATAGATATATTACCTTGTTAGAAAATTGCATTTTAGAATACTTCCTCCTATCTCTTTTGGAAGTTTGCAGAGGCCAGAAGAGGAATATGGATAATAAACTATTTCTACAATTGGCTTATTTCTGTTAAATATATAAATTGTCTTTGATTTAGTGAAAAAAGATGTCTTTGTTAGATATAATAATATAGATTTTTCTATCTTAAAAACTGCATATCATTGTCATTTACTTTCAAAAGAACTCCTTTTAAATGCTAATAGCACGAACTGAGATATTATATCTGATCAATCATTTAAATTGAATCTTAAAAGTCTTTATTTTCAAGAAGACAATAAGAAGCACACATCATCAAGTTAGATTTTTTGTTCCTAACTTTATATCATGCCACAAAAACATTATTACAGCTCACAAATATTGAAGGTGCTCCCGCAGTAGTAGTGATAGTACTTAACCGGTAAATTCGATATATTGCCGCAACCATTGTCAGGAGCTTCCATTGTATTTTCACAAGATGTAGTGTCCACATAGGCAGTGACATTCTCTTTGGTCTCTGTGTTGGTTAGGGACTGAGTTTGGTTTACATCAAAATAATATATATCAAAAGAAATATGACCAATAGGAAAAGAATTTGCAAATCAGAAGTATATAAAACTAATTTCTCATTTAAATAGAACTGCCAAAACAATAATCATGAATTTTACTCTCATTTTAGATGGAATCATAAACAGTGAAAATATTATTCCTTTCAACCATTTTTTCTTTAAAGAGTTAACCTATATAGCAAAGTATCTTGGAAGAAAACAAACATCAAATTAGATTTTTTTGTTCCTAACTTATATTTTACCACAAAAAGTCAAAAACGTAAATACAAGCTCACAAAAAGATCATCCCATTCCCAATATGTCCCTCTAGACAAGCTTAAATTATTAGTATTGTCTACTGAGAAAAAAGCTTTTTGGTATAATACACAGAGCTACATAATGCATACACATATACTTTCTATATATTACATAGAGAGAAGAGAAATGAGGCTCATGAAGTGGCTTGAGTTTCCTCAGAGCTACTAGCAGAGACTTGTCCAGTACCAGTAGCAGTAGCGTGGCCCTCTTCTTCTTCTTCTTCTTCTTCGCAGAAGATGCTCTCGTCACTTGTTTCCGAGAACGCACCTTCCTCATCTTCTTCGCTTACCTCGTCTTCTTCTTGGTTTCTCTTTTTTCTCAACACTTTAATGCCTTTTCTTTGAAGCGAGAGCCTTCTCCGTTTTCTTGCTTTCCTTTTTCCTTTAGGAAATTCTTCTCCTTGAGAGTGATGTTGATGCAGTCTCTTCCTTCTTCCCTTACTGCTTTCGTTCTCATCTGACTCCTCCTCTGCTGCATCAAGCTTCCGTTTCTTTTTCCCTGAATTAGTCTGAAACAACCGCAAATATTAAGATCATTTTCTTTTAAGGTTATATGTTGAAGACAACAGAAAAGAAACATTATGTAGGGTTAGTCAAAAAACCTTGGGGCCACGATCAACCAGACGAGCCCACTCATGCCTATTCCTCAGGCAATCAAGAACAGCCTGTGAATGGCTTGAATATGCATATCGTTCTCCGTTGTGTTTCCTCAAGTGAGGCCAGTGCTACAAGAACGAGACCAACACAACACATTAGAACAGCTAATCTGTGACCTAGAGTATGATATGTCTCAGATCAGAAATATTTGGTAAGGAGACGTAATAATACCGGTAAGACTGCGTTACAGAGCTCCTCATATGCCATCCTCTTGCCTTTGCTCATGATTTCATTGATTAAGCCTGGCAAAGTTCGATGTACTGGAGTGCCGTTATTCCTAGGGGAACTGTGTGGAGAAGGCTTATTATGCTCATTCAACTCGCTGGATGAACACGGTCCGCTGCTTGTGCTTGTAGCCGAGTTTGGCGGGAGAAGTACTTTCCGAGAGGAGTAAGAAGAGGTTTTGGGGGTTTCATTTTCTTCCCCTTTGGAACACAAACTCCCCCCTCTGCTTCCACTGTCTTGTTGTGTTCTCCTATCAGGAGAGCGACGCGTTTTGGCACTCCTTGTACTGCATCTATCATCATCACGTAAATTGCGGTAACCTTCTTTGGATGCATCCTTGTTTTTCCTTCTGGAAAACTAGCCAAATAGATACATAATCAGCCAACAAGCTTGAGCCTAAAAGAGAGCATAGGCTAAAAGATAAGATAGAATTTATATCATACCGTTGTGTGATCCTTGCTACCAGAACTAGAAGTGCGCTTAAAACTAGGAGCGGTTGGAGACAGGGGCAAGCTACCAGGCTGTCTCAGGCGTGGTACACGAGGAACTCGCGGAGAGCTATTGAGTTGATGGTGCAGTCTTAACGCAAGCTGGTCATTAATGGAACAAACAAAACATGTCAAACAGTAGAAGAATAGGGAAGACAAACAAAAAGAGTAAGAATTCCATCTCACACACCTCTTCATCGCTCAGATTTGGAGCAAGGGAAATTATAGACTGCACAGGGTTCTTAGTTGATGACTGGAATATTGATTGTCCAGGCTTTTCATTTTTCGGGAAGGTCCCTGAAAGCGAATGTTTACTAGGAGCCTCGGAAGAACCACCATTAATCCGAGCTGCTGAAGATGTCTTTGAAGCAGAGGAAGACTCTCTAGTCTTGGAAACTGAAGAATGGGAAATACGATTATGCTGCATCGATTTCTTAGAGGTAATAGAAAATTTAGGATGTTTCGGAGCTTTCTCTGAAGGTTCATCATCCCCATCTCTCTCTCGGATCACATCACTGGAAACACAGTCCTCATCATTGGTATTAGCATCAGCATCATCACATGGTTGTTGCTTCGAGCGGGAAGACTTTTCCGTGGCTGAACTTGACGATGTTTTTCCAATGCATACTACCATCTTAGGCCTACCATTTCCTGAAACAGTGTGGGGAATAGGTCTGAAAGGCTTTGTTGGCTCTTGAAATAAACCAGATTCAGGCTTTGTTTCCAGAATATCTTTTTCTGCTTCCGAAACCACCAGTTCTCGTTTTAATTCCATAGCTTTGTTTCTATTGCCACTACTTATTCCTTCTGATACCACATCAACAGGCTGCGGTTTGTGATCATCAGGAAGTGAACTGCCCGGTGTCATTTTGTTAAGTTCAGAAGCTCCAGAGATCTGAGATACAGAGCTCCCTGACACTTTAGAATCCATAGGGTCTAGAGTCTGCAGGCCTACAGCTCCACTGGCACCAGTATCAGCTGTTTCTTTTTGGAATTTGTTCTTTCTAGAACTGACTTTCCCACTGTGTGTTTTTTCTTCACCTTCTCGTGTTTTACCAACCGTGGAAACAGGAGAAGGCTTCTGGGAACTTTCAGAAGAATCAACTGCATTATCTTCCGGAACGTCAGCTACTGTGCCTTGTCTCTGTAAAATAAGTAAATCGCCATTACAAATTATCAGTTGCTTCCCCATTGTTTTCTTAAGCAAGAGTAAAATCCTTTCAACAAAAGTACAAAAAAAAACCCAATTGCCAATTCAAACAGTTGTTACAGTCTACAAGACATCAAATCTTTTTATTTGATAAAATCAAGGCACTTCTTGCTACTTAAGCTTCCCTATTACTACCGCAAATTAATCATATAATAACTCATTATAGATCCAATTTAGGCCTTTTCTAGGAGGCCATGTATATCGAAGAGATCAAATAGGTTTGACCTAGACCAACTTGATGATAATTATTGAAAGAACTTCAATATTTGTTGCAAGATGAACCCCTAACAATATAATAATATCGATCTAATTAAGAATCATTCAAAGTAATTCATATTGCTATAAGTTTAAGCCAATCTAAGACATACCTCCTCCTCCTTATTAGCCTCATTGTGTGGAACATCTTTTCCTCCGAGGACAGAAGGATCAGTAGATGCAGAGCTCTTAAGCACAATTCGAAAATGATGACCAGCTTTCTCTTCCTGTTTTCCAGCACCATTGGCATGAACGTCAGAAAGATTCTGTTCTCTGGAGCATTCAACACCAATTTCTGTATTACCAGATTCATCACCGCCAGTTTCTAGAGCAAGGCCACCACTATTAGATTCTTCGAAAGAAGCTTTCTTGGCCTTTACACTCTTCGTGATCCCAATGTCGCTTGTAAAACCTTCTGCTTCTATGTCCTTACGAGATTCTGATGGTTTAGAATCACTGGCAGGTCGAATTCCTAGTAATTTGAAAAAAACAAAAAGAGGGTTTTTAAGAACAATGGAGATAAGATTCTAGAAGTGAAGCACATAATGGCAAATGAAAGTCTGCTAATAGCGTCATAAGGTCCAAAAAGTTGTTTCACTGACCTGTTTTACCGACAAACCCTTTCTTATCATCTTCTTCTTTGTCTGCACCTTCAACCTTCTTCTTCATCCGCTCTTTTGAAGCTCCGAACAATTCTTTTCTTCGTTTATTCGTGATCATAGGACGAAGCAACCTCTTATTCTTCTTCATGGCACCCTGAGAATGTTTTCTATCCATTTCGCCAGAGTCCCCACTATTGCCGTCTTTTGCACAACCAAGCTTCAAATCATTGGTTCCTTTACCATCTAGGCTCTTCATTCCAACCAAAGCACTCACAGGAGCAGCAATCACATTTTCCTTCGACATAGAAAACAAAACCCCTGCACCGTCATTTTCAATCTCATCCTTCTCTTGCTCATCCCAGCATGGAAACTCTCTATACTTAAAGTTAAACTTCTTCGGCACATAACCAGTACACTTCCACAGCTCCCGGGAGAAAACCGACGACAACCCTTCAAAAAGAGCCGGATCCCCACCCGGGATTCCTTGCACATGAACCTTTTCCTCGGTCGGAATTTCAGTCCATAACCTAAAAGGACGCTTCGGCGGAACACCCCGAGTACACGAATTCTCCATTCTCAAGGTTTTAGTAGGCAATTCAACCAACAACTGAGCAACCTCAGTCTCCTCGCTATCATTAACATTGTTCTTGCTCTTACACTTATCACAAGTAAAAAGCTCTTCTTCTTTAACAAAACGAGAACAACGAGTATGAACCCAAACACCACAATCATCACATTTAACCATCTCTGTTCCATCATCGTCATTCACACCACAAACACAATCCACAGTCCAAAGTTCATTACCCCAATCCTCATGAGGATCCGTACTCGAAAACCGATACGATCTTCCTCTCATCTCGCAAACTCTAATCTAACAAAACCCTAACCCCCAATTTCTATAATTCTTAGCCTAAACTACACAGAACAAGACGCTATGAAAACGAAACTAAAAAAAAACCCTATTTTTATAACAACCCAATTCGCCAATTCTAACAAACCCTAGGAATCAAAGCTCAGGATTTCAAGAACAAGAACCGTATCACCTGACGAAATTAAACTCCAGATTCTGACAGAAACAAGAACTCGACTTATGCATCTCCAGTTGCGGCAGTAACAGAGAAGCTGAAACAGAGATTCCAAATCATCCAAAGAAGTGGTGTTTGATTGTCGGAAGCGGAACTGAACAAGAAAGAAGCTATAACAAAATTTTCCGTTTGAAGTCCGTCGCTGGCAATTAACAAAATTAATTTACCGTCTCAAGTCCGTCGAGCTCTTTTTGGGCTTTATGTAATTATGGGCCGGGCTCAGAAGTCAGACCCATTTAATATGTTGTTTATTCCAACTTATGAAACTTGCTTTGACTTGGTTTATAATAATATTAGGAGTGTTGATTAGGACTTAGGGCCATATACATTTTAGACTGCTCCACATTATTAGCATTTAGCATATTTTATTATATTGCTCCAAAAGAACTCCATTTTCAAAAGTGATAAAAAAAAAAAACGAATTTGAAGGCGGAAGAAAGCGGAATAGTTAGTCAAATTGCTGAGAAACATAAGCAAATTCAACACTGAATCCCAAACTTCACTAGTAGATATGTAAGTTAAGTGCAAAATAGGAACGATTTGACTTAAGGCGCAATGATCTAATTAGAACGGGTAAAAAAATGTTTAAAATCTAAAGAAAACAATGGAGATAGAGAATAAGATATACACTAGTTTAAGAAAGAAGATGATAGGGTTAAATTGGTGAGGGTTAAAAAGATGACGAAAACAAATGGATAGTAAGGATGAAAAGCCCGTGAGGTTTGAAGGAAACATTAGTCTCGCCAAATCTTGTAAACTAAAATTGGTTTTTGACATTATGTGGATTGAAGGCAAATCATTTTTTATAGATAAAATAAAAGATCAACAAAAAAAAAAAAAACAATTAAAATAAAAGTCAATAAAATTAGCAAATTATTTTACATGAGCCAAAGTTGGGCCTTTGTTTGGCATTTTATTACAGTTGAGAATTTTTTTTGATATTTTTCCTTTAGACAATATATATTTGTGTATATAACCACACACATGTGTCTATAACCATAGATTTAATGACCATTTTAAGACTCAATATAAACCTCACGAAGTCTGGATTGACTACTAAGGTCACCAAAAGTTTTTTGTGAAGGATTTTTGGGCTGATATTTGGTTGGGAAAGACTTCTTCTTAAATGTATTCTCAAGTCAAATTGTCTCAAATACATCCTTGGGAATTGGGTCTTAAAGTCCCTGATAGTTTTCTTAAAGAAGGTTCCTTAGCAAATATGTTATTGATAAATAAAAACTCTCTACGAGTTTTTTTCTACCCAAAAAATTATCAGGTAACGGAAGAAGAAGAAAGCATCAAGATCCTAGAGTTACATTTCGAAAACAAGAGATGAGAGATGCAGACAAACATCTTTACATGTCTGTATGTCTGTATACAGTAAAATACTATAGGTAAAAAAATATTTACATAAAAAGTTGAAAACATCACTTAAAAATTAAAATGAAACAAATTTTAAAAAAATATCACTAAATGATATGGAGTGAGTATCTAAATTTAATTAATTGAAGTTTTTTTCACAAATCAAAATCTTATCGATAGACTTAACACTTATTATGATTATGTAGTTAACAATTTTGAAAATCAAGTTTTATATATAATAAAATACCGCTATTTTTACCCAATTAAACTTATATTATGTACTAAAATCTGTTATTAATATCTCTAATCAAATATTAGTGTATCCTTATTCTTTATCGTCGTATTTTTCTATTGTATTATATATTTTTACATAAATCCGTATTTTTGGTTTTCGTTTTTTCAGTATTAAAAAATATCGATTAAGGATAAATCAAATAAAAAATAAATAATTAAACAGATAATTTCGAGAAATCTTTTTTTTTTTTCAATCATAAAATATACACATAGATTTAAGGTCTCTATTCTCTACTCTGAACTCTCTACTCTGGACTTTCTACCCTGGCTCCCTACAATGTAGTTGAGTCCAAGAATAGACTAATAAAAGAGACCAAACACTCCACTCTCCGGTACGGTCGGATTCTACGTTATCCAATCACACTCATTTTTTCACCGCAGTTAAAAACACAAAAAGTGAAGTTAAACTCATTACCAGTTTGGTTTCTCAACGAATCCTTACTTAATCACTCTGATCAAATACCATTAATTATCACCGATCTTCTGATTAATCACTCTTTAATCCTCTCTTTATTTCCTTTTTCTCTCTCTTCTCTTTCTTCTTCTTCTTCCTCGAGAGCACCTTATGCTGATTCCTTTCTTTTTCTTCCTCAAATCATAAAACCCGATCGGCCAATTCCTTCTCAATTATCCTTAAATTTCCGATTTTGATATCTGGGTTTCTCTCTGATCATGGCGGTTGTTGAGACTGGAGCAGCTGCTACTGCTGCTGATGCAGGAGGAGTCGTGATCCAGCCGCCGCCGTCTTCTCCACCTTCTTCAATGACAAGTCAAGATTCCGGCGTTTCTTCCGATGATCAGAACCATCACTCTAGGATCGATCAAGTTCTTCGGCACGATCAAGGTGATGTTGGTCTGTATAGCAAGATCGGGTCACACGTGGCGAGATCCGACGGCGTTGACGGTGGTGAAAGCTTTAAGCGTGATATGAGAGAGCTTCAGGAGCTTTTCTCTAAGCTTAATCCTATGGCTGAAGAGTTTGTTCCTCCTTCTCTGACTAAACAAGGAGGTAACGGTGGACTTAACGGTGTTAATGGTGGTTTCTTCACTTCTGCTGGTTCCTTCTTCCGTAACAATGGCTTCTCTGGTACTGGAAATGGTGGCTACGGTAATGAAAACGGTGGTTTTCGACGGGTAAGAGACACTGGTTTTCGTCGATTTTCCTATTCATAGTTGTGATCTTTGGGTGAATTGAGGTTTCATTTCACTGAATTGTCTTTGGGTTTTTGTTAATTGATGGTTTTCTCAAAGGATTTTTTGTTGTTTTGTTTAGTTTAGGATTCATAGCTTTGGATCAAAGTTGTGTTTCATTTTCGTTGGAGATCATTGAAATAGAAAGATTGTACATTTGAAAGTTTTAATTTTGCTTAATGAGACTACTATAAATCCATATCATTCGTGTTGATTGTGTGTGTGTATGTGTATGTTGTGTGTGTGATGTAGAAGAAGAGCTTTGGTCAAGGGAAACGAAGGATGAATGCTCGAACAAGCATGGCTCAACGAGAAGATGTTATCCGTAGAACCGTCTATGTCTCTGATCTCGATCAACAGGTTGAAAAGTTGCTCCTTTTCTCTCTTCTTCGATCAACAAGAATTTTGATCTTGACTTTTTCAGTGTGTTTTGGGTGTTATAGGTCACTGAAGAGCAGCTTGCTGGTTTGTTTGTGAGCTGTGGACAGGTTGAAAATATTTCCTTGAGGCTCTCATCGATAAACTCTATCTTTGTGCTTGCTTGTGTGCTTTAACTGTGTTTAATTTTTGCAGGTTGTTGACTGTCGCATATGTGGTGACCCAAACTCAGTGCTTCGGTTTGCATTCATCGAGTTCACTGATGAAGGTATTATTTCATGAATTATGTCAGTTTTGGAGTATCATCAGTGTACTACAGTGGTTAAGTGTCTTGTGTTGGCAATTTGGTTTTTTTCAGAGGGTGCAATGACTGCTCTGAATTTATCGGGGACTATGTTGGGATTTTATCCTGTGAAAGTTCTGCCATCCAAAACAGCTATAGCACCGGTTAACCCGACATTTTTGCCCAGGGTGAGATTTTCTTCTACTATGCAAAGTTTCTGGTGGTTTGCGACTCGGAAAATGATTTAGCCGTGTCTTTTGCAGACTGAAGATGAGCGTGAGATGTGTGCGAGAACTATCTACTGTACTAACATTGACAAGAAGGTGACTCCCTTGAATCGTTTCTCTTATCTAACCTTAACTGATGAAGTATCTCCCTTTCACAAGTGTAAAAATTGCTTACAGGTGACTCAATCAGATGTGAAGATCTTTTTCGAATCCTTCTGCGGAGAGGTGAACAAATCTTGTAGTTTCTAAAAATGCAACAAAATTGTTATTCGTTTGTGCAATAGTTCACTGATTAGGTGTTGTTAATACAGGTTTATCGCCTGAGGCTGCTTGGAGATTACCAACACTCAACTCGTATTGCTTTTGTAGAGTTCGTAATGGTAAACATCGGATACACCTCTGCACGATTCTTTGATTTCTTTAAGTCATATTCTGAGTAATCTATCGTTTATATCTTCATAGGCTGAAAGCGCAATAGCGGCTCTCAACTGCAGTGGAGTTGTTCTTGGTTCTTTACCAATAAGGTCAGTGAAACAAAACGATCATCGCTACACAATTCAATCTCTTTTTCGTGTTTGTGACGGGGTTTTCGCAGGGTGAGTCCTTCAAAGACGCCTGTTCGTCCGAGATCACCGAGGCATCCAATGCATTGATCTTAGCTTACAGGTTTCCACATATCTCATGTCTCAATATATATATCGCTGTCTCGTCTAAAAACAGCATACACAGACATGTAAAGATGTTTGTCTGCATCTCTCATCTCTTGTTTTCGAAAATGTAATTCTGGGATCTGATGATGCTTCTTTCTTCTTCCGTTACCTGAGAATCTTTTGGGTAAAAAAAAACCTCGTAGAGAATTTTTATTTATCTCTTAAGAGAAAAAGAGCTTAAAACGTATTAGTATCACATCCCCAAACTTACTTCTTACAGTTACAATCGTGTTATTGGTTCACGAAAGTCAAACATGATTTCTTTATTTATTTGGGGTCGGAAAAAAAAATGATTTTATGACAAAAAGAGTTTGAATCAAATTTTGATGTTCTTAGTTTTGTCCGAACAAAACACAGTTGTGTTGTGTAGGAGTATGTAGATAAAAAACAAGTCAACTTAGTACAGCTGTTTTGTCAGTTCTTAATATCCAAAAAGTCAACTTTGGGAAATTCCGAGAAAATAATTACAAAGAAGGAAAGGGTTTGGTGGTTTTCTGAATTTGTGACGTCATGAAGTACGAAATGCGGTCTAGGTACAACGATTACTCAATGTTTGTGCATTTCAAGATTTTTTTAACTTTGTACTGTGACTTTTGTTTTTTAGGAAATTGGTGAAGCGAGAATTTATCTTTATTTATGAGAATTTTTTTTCTCTTTGACAATAAATTATGAATGAGATTTTATTTTCAAGTATTCATCCAAATATTATTGAGATAGATACAAGACATCGATCGTTTTAAATATTGTACTATTCCAGTTCACCTACTTAGATCGTTTCGGTCAGTAAGCAATCCAATCTTATTTTATATTTTTCTATGTAGATATTATAAACAAAAATTGAAATTAATTGAACGGGCCAAATATCCAATTTGAGTATTATAAATTTCCTAATGATTTTATGTATTATTTAAACAAAATAGTAAAACCATTATTGATTATATTAGGAAAATCCGAAAATGGGTAGAAGCACTAACCAATAAAAACAAGGGCTATATTAATTTAAAATCACAATTGACCAAAAAATTAAGAAATATACCCATGGTTTTTATATTATTAGTTCTCTCTTCTCAACTTCTGTAAGTTGGACAAAAATGCCCCTCCGCATATAACAAATTAGTTAACAATATAATAAAATAGTTATCGACGTTTCTTATTTAATTATGAATAGATTGTCCGTCAAATATCTGAGTAAGAATATATGATGAGTTAAATGATTATCTATTGGTTTAACACGATAACAAAATATTCTTTCATCTTCTTCTTTCTATACTTACCGCCACCAACAATATCATTGTTATCATCATCATCGGTAAATCTCATCATCGTCAAATCAGAACCACCATCAATTACCATTATTTTTTACCGCATAAACTTAACCAACCTTCGCAGAAAAACAAAACAAAAACTTCCCTTATCTTCATCTTTGCCAAATCAAAAGCACTATTGTCATAGGTGAACCACACAAATCATTGGTTTTGCTCTTCGGTTCTCTGCAGAAAAAAAGTCTGATTTAATTTTCATTATTAAAGTTGTGTTCTAGTGTTTGAAGAAGAAAGAAATAAAAGAAAAGAGATAAAACATTGAATAAATAAATTAAGGATGGTATTGTCTTTTACATATTCCAGTGAATGCCAAATAGTAACGAGGAGAGAGAACTAATTATTCATTCTTATGTAGTTATGGAGTATAGATACTCTAAAAAGAAATTATTGTTAGTATTATATTGAAAATAAAAGTAACAAAGTGATCATTTAAAAATAAAAACTTATATGTATATATATATATATATATATATATATATATATATATATTTTTTAACTTAGATATATTTTCTTCTTCGTAAATCTTGTTTTAAATCAAGTTTTTTTGTTTTTCTTTGGTGTCGGCTAAATCCCCTAGGATGTCCGAATCTTCCCAACCCCAAAACTATAAGGTAAATATACACTTATGAAAAGATGTTGAATGTGTTAGGTGTTGAATGCATCAAACCTGTTTAGTTTATTAAGATATAATTGCGTATGTTGAAAGAAAATCAATACTATGATTTGTGATTTAACTGGATAAACCAAAAATTCAGCGAATCATTAAAATAATCTCTAATACTTAGTATATTTCTAGATTGTTAGAATTTGTGATATTTTGAGCTTATTAAACTTTTATAAGACTAACAAACCTAGAGAAATGTGCGTATAATTTGACGGTAAGATCCAATTACGGTGTTCAAAAACTCACAAGTCTTGGCTTCCTAACTCCTATGACCGATGCTCATATTAATTTCGCTACTCCTACGGTTAGTTAGAAGATCCATGCAAAATGTGTTTCTCCACATTAACAGAGGCCATTTCTATTTCTATTTTAATCCTTCCTTTTTAATTATTTATGTCTTGGTTTTTGAGACTGAAATAACTAAATAAATTTAATAAAATGAGCTTTTACTTTTTATGGCATGAAAGATTGTTTAGTTCTATATATGTATTTAGATTTAACACCGAATATTTAAGTTTTGGTCAAATATTTAGCAAATTCATGAGGTGGACATGCTTTTTAGCAAGGAATTTCTCGCAAGTCCTAATTTATATCTTATTCTAAAATAGAGTAAATAATAAGATTAAAAATAGAGGAATACATTGGAGATGATTTAAAGCATTCGAGCCAAAATTTAAGTGTTTTATGCGCCTAGTGTACATCTTTGATTCTAATCCCAATATTACATTGCAACCACACACGAGTTTAATGGTTTTAGCTGTTGGTGCACATACATTACACATCATCACCAAATTCTAGTCACTTCTGTCACCAGACTCTGTCCATTTTCTGATTGCTCTGCCATTGAAAGCCATTTAATATCAAGTAAAGTAGTCCCCGCAAAAACCTACCACTTATTTTCTCCACCATACATTAACAAATTTGCAATTATTGTATTTTATATTTATGAAAATCTATACAGTTTCATTGACGTTTGAAACACTAAATACTCTTACAACAATGTACATAAATTTGACGTGACGCCGTGTAAATCACGAAGATAGGCGGTATTCAATGACAGTATTCAATGCTAAGAGTTCACAAATCTTATGTGAAGATAGTAGTTTTAATTTATGCATGAAATATAAGTTAGTTGGAGCACAAACAAAATTTAATATACCATTGCTTAATTCGGTCTTTAATTGGCATTGAGATTAGCATTATGATGGTTTATGTAAAGAGATTGGTCATATCAATCTTATCAAAGCCACCTCTCTCGGGATTATTGACTCGATTTGGATATTTATACATGTGACTCAATATCCTCACTATATTTAGACATATATAGATCTGAATTCTGTATATATATAGATCTACATTCATAAAAGACAAATCTAATAAAAAAATAAATATCAAGAAGATGGCAGAGACTCAAGGGAAGGTCATCACTTGCAAAGGTAATTAATTACTCACCAATGAGATATGATGTTGATGCATGATGATTATGATAGTAATGCTGAATGTATGTGGTGCATGTAGCTGCTGTCGTATGGGGTCCAAAAGAACCGCTTGTAATACAAGAAATATGTGTGGATCCTCCTCAGAAAATGGAAGTCCGGCTCAAAATCCTTTACTCTTCCATTTGCCACACCGATCTCGGATGTTGGAACGGCACGGTACTCATATGCATTTATATTCCAATCAGTACAAAACTTGCATTCTTTCTTGATTACAATCTAATCAAAAATATCGTTTTTCGGTGTGTAAAAGAACGAAGCTGAACGAGCATTTCCAAGGATTCTTGGTCATGAAGCTGTCGGGTATATCCCGATATCTAAACTCTTTTATAACCACCTACCAGTGTCGCTAACTAAACATGTTTTCTGTGTTTCGGGTATATGTTAATTTAATAGGATTGTAGAGAGTGTTGGAGAAGGAGTGAAAGATGTGAAAGAAGGAGACTATGTGATTCCGACTTTCAATGGAGAATGTGGTGAATGTAGAGTGTGTAAGAGAGAAGAGAGTAATCTCTGTGAGCGATATCATGTGGATCCTATGAAGAGAGTGATGGTGAGTGATGGAGGGACGAGATTCTCAACCACAACAGACAAGGACGGTCGCTCAAGCCAGAGCCAACCCATATATCATTTCCTTAACACCTCCACGTTCACCGAATACACCGTCTTGGACTCGGCTTGTGTCGTCAAGATCGATCCTAATGCTCCTCTCAAGCAAATGAGCCTCTTGAGCTGTGGTGTCTCAACTGGTTAGTTACTAATTTATCATATATAGCAATTGAATTCATGGATTTTGTCCAGAACATTGAGAATTTGCGTTGTTTTAGAAATGGTATATCAATATATAGGAGAAGATAGGGCCTTGCTTCATAAACACATTCACTTCCCTTTCCAAAACGCAGTTATTTCAATTTGTCTCTTTCAATTAAATTTGGATTTTAATGTTACATATCGTCGTGGTCCATTTACCACCTCATGTATATAAGAGGTAAAAATAAGAAGCATGCATAGTGTCATGAGGTGTTTCCTTGTTAATGTTACGACGTCGTTTTGGAAAAAAAAAATAGGGGTTGGAGCAGCTTGGAACATTGCAAAAGTGAAGGAAGGAACAAGCACTGCTGTCTTTGGATTGGGTTCTGTTGGACTCGCTGTAAGATTAAATTTAATTAATTCATTGATGCATATATCAATCAATTTTTCATTTATATATATGACTCCAAAATGATGTATTTATTTCATGAATGAAAACTGAAGGTTGCTGAAGGTGCAAGAGCAAGAGGAGCTTCTAGGATCATTGGTGTTGATGCTAATGCTTCCAAATTTGAGAAAGGTACGTCCTCTAATTCTTTTTTATCAATGCTGCTTCTCCTTTTCTTAATATTAAGGTTGATATTCGAAAAACAAAACCAAATTGCCTGATCTCTTTTCGCCTAATCGAATTAAGCATCTCGAAAAGTGAAGCAAATAACTTAGGAATGCGAATGCAATAATTTCCGTTTATACGCGATCTTGAACCAGAAACAAAATGATATTTTACGAGACCAAATGGACTGATTATAAGGTGTACTAGATTTTGAGGAGTTTACTCGTCTACAACTATGTCCATATAACCACCATATTACTGATTTACTTCAATCAAATATTGCAGGTAAGCTGATGGGAGTAACAGACTTCATAAACCCTAAAGACTTAACTAAGCCAGTACATC